ACCTTTTTATGAGACTGAGCTGTTGACCCAGTTTTGACTCGTGTTTAACATTTTAGTTACGATCTATCTTTTGGTGCTGATTGACTTCTGTACATTTTTCTGTGTTTATTTCTAGCACAAAGGCTGGTTTGAAGCCTTGATGCTTGTGTACTTAGATCCTTAGCTCAAGCTCGCTGAATTATTCTGAACATATGAATAAAATGGTCATTTACACTGGTCATTTAGATCTTTTGTTATGGGGAATGTTTTCTTCTTCAGTGCGAATTTATCAGATTTATAGTCTGATTTGTTTTTCTTTTTGCAATGTCAAATGGAATATGGATTGTGACTTGGTGTATTTATGGCTTATGTAAACGCACCTATTTTGTATCTTGTAACTCCAGCCATCTTAGTGGCATTTAATCAATATTAAGCTTTGTAACCTAAGATTCAAAGTGATAGAAACCCTAAATATGCTGTTAAGACAACCTATGTGGCATGATTTATAATATGGTGTCTCTTATCACAGGACTACAGCTTCTCCATTTATAATCAGAGATGAGATCTGAACAGAACTGTAATATAGTACAAAAATTGACCGTTCACCTAGATTTGACCGATCTGTTTCTGAGGTTGTACTTCTGCTGTTTTAAGGGAGTTGGTTTCTCTTGCAGTTGAAACTTTTGCATCATTGTGTCTGGGCTACAGGACCGTAACCATCGCTCTCCGCGCTGTTCATAACTCCCATTCCTGCTCTCTTCCTGTCACCTGTCAGCTCGCTGGATTTTGTGAGCCGCTGTCAGACGTCCTCCCTTTCCTGTGCTCTGATTCGTGTTGTTGGGCAGTTTACAATCTCTTGAGCAGTGGCGAGACTAGGAATGGTCATTGCCCATCCACCATAAATTGGTGCCCGCCGAAATTTCTATTTCTGCCCACACCACTGCTGTGCCATTGCTACCTTTTTTGTCAACAGCTCTCTTTTATATTCCCACTCTTCAGATTGTCCCTATGGGATGGATCTTGTGTGTTTCTCGTCTTACTCTCCCTCGCCATTGTTCCACCATACTTTCCTAAATTAATAGGTATTTGGACGAAGTGCTGAAGTACTGCTGACATTCGTAGAAGTAGTCTGAACCGCTTCAGGAGACAAATAAGAATATTGGGGTTTAAAATTGAATTGGATTCCATAGCAATTGTTAAATATAATTGCTTCTGTTTAGGTAGTACAGTGGGTCAGCAATTTCTCCCTCTTTGTTCCCCCCCACCCCACCATTTCCCCTGGGTCACATCTGGCTGCCACTTATGGGATGAAAATGGTTGGCCTGTAAGTGATTTTAATCGGTCTCAAGACAGTTCTCTGTGGGCACAGGTCCAAAGGCACTGCCTTTATATCAGTTGATATAATGGATGAGAATTAGAAATTGGCTGTTTCCTGCATCCATTCAGTTCTAGGGTAGCTGGCTTGCATTAATAATAATAATCCTTGTATTTGATATACTATAGTGCCTTATCACATCTTTGAGAAGTCTCAAAGCACTTCACAGAATATACTATCAAGTGAATTGACTGTATATTTTGTGGGCGAAATTCTATATTTCATGGCTTTGAACATTTTTTGGATTAGCTGCAGTTCAGATAGGTGAAGCGCTGAATTCTGATCATTCCTCATTGATTCTTACTTCAGTTTTGACAATTTGTACATGTGCTTCTTCTGGGGGCAAGTATTTATTTGTTAGATATCTTCTGGGACCAGCTGGACACAGAATCTGCTTCCTACACTAACACTTGCCCTCAGGCAGGGCAACCAAGAAGAATCTTAAATAAATTGAATATAATGTGACTGTACAAATACTCCTTAGTATTGATCTTGAAAATCAAATTATTTTTAACTGGCTACATTTGAATACTTAAAAAATTCTGAAGTATCGTAATGCTCAACCAGTGATTGTGTTCTGTTGGTGTGGAATAGTCCTGCCTGCTGATTAACACTGGAGTATGCTATTTTTGTACCGTTAACGAACAACGGGGGAGTATAAAGATAATGAGAAAGGCTCATTAGACAGACTCTGACCTCACCTTCGGGTCTCTTATACTAATTGATGGTTCCTTCTTTGTCTTTCAAAAAGATTCATTTTTGGTCCAAGTATTCTATTTGATCAGTGAGCAATATGATTAGCATTCATGCCTACTTGAGTGTAAATAATGCCTCCAGGAGTGAGATTATGCTGAGTAAGCTTTTATGAACTTTGATGCTTTTATTTTGTTGTAATTAGGACACAGATGGTGGTTAAAACCTGTAGTGGCAAGCATGTTGAACCTAATAAATGACCATCAAGTCTGCTTCAGAAGGGGTAATTCTTGATTGACTAATCTGACTTTTTGAGGAAGTGATATTCCCAGATTGAGAGTTGAATACCACAGTAGGGTGATACACCTAGACTTTCAAAAGGCTTTTGACAAAGTATCATACAGGAGACTCCTAGATAGTCAAAGGAGATTAAGATTATGACATGGATAGGATTATTAAAATAAGAGGGTAGTTGAAAGGGATAATGAATTGCATTACATGAGGATGAGAAGTGGGACCTTAGCATGTTTGTTGGGATCATTTTTGTTCCTAATATACATAACGCAGTCACAAAAACAATTAAAGGAGAGGTTAAAAAAAGAATATCCATTGAGGGTGTTTGGACATGTGACATTCTGTCACAAATTGCTGTTGGAACAGTCATATTATTTTATGCTACTAAAAGAATATTAAAGGATAGGGGAGTGAACAGAAGAGTGGATGTTAGAATGGTTCAAATGGAGAAATATCAGCATAGACTTAATGGGTCAAATAGCCTGTTTCTGTGCATTTGATTCTACAATCTGGTCACAGAATGAATTTTTTACTGCAGTCTGTTAATACTTGCTTTAGACATAGCGCCTTTCCAACATCAGCAAAAAGAAAAGCATTTATAGAGGGCCTTTCACGTCAACAACCACAAAATTACATTTATAGAGCACCTTTCACGTCGGGAGAAAGTCCCTAAGCACTGAACAATCAGGTGTCAGGGCCCGAGCATGTGGGAGGGTTGGTGTAGGGGTGAGGGAAGGCAGAGAGGTGGGAGGGAGACCAAAGGCACGGTCGAAGAGAAGGGTCTTGAGACCGGTCTTGAAGGAGGCAAGGGAGGAAGCGAGGCGAAGGGACCGTGGGATGCAATCCTAATCCTTTAAAGGATTAGAGTATAAGAGTAGGGAAGTCTTGTTGCAACTGTATAGGGCCCTGGTGAGACCACACGTGGAATACTGTGTGCAGTTTTGGTCTCCTCATTTAAGGAAGGATGTACTTGCCTTGGAGGGGGTGCAGCGTAGATTTACTCAGTTAGTACCAGGGATGAAGGGGGTGAGTTACGAGGATAGGCTGACCAATTTGGACCTATATTCTCTAGAATATAGAAGAATTTGAGGGGATCTTATAGAAACCTATAAGGTCATCAAAGGGCAATGATAGAGTAGATAGTGGGAGATTGTTTCCCCGGTTGGAGAAACTAAAACCAGGGGTCACAACCTTAAAATCAGAGGCAGCCCTTTGCACTGAGTTGAGGAAGAACTTCTTCACTCAAAGGGCAGTGAATATATGGCACTCACTACCCCAAAGGGCTGTTGACACTCAGTCTTTGAACATATTCAAGACTGAGATAGATAGATTTCTTATTGCAAAAGGGATTAAGGGATATGGGGATAAGGCAGGGTCAGGTTATTAGCTGGAGTTAGATTAGCAAATCAGCCATGATTGAATGGCGGGGCAGGCTCGAAGGGCCGAATGGCCTACTCCTGCTCCTACATGTCATGTTATGCAGTTCCAGAGTGTGGGGCAGAGAGGCTGAAAGCCCGGCCACCAATGGTTGGGCGGGAGGCATGGAGCAGGCCGGAGCCCACTGAACGGAGGGAGTAGGCAGGTTGGTAGGGAGTCAGCAGGTCAGAGAGGTAGGAGGGGGCAAGACCATTCATGGCCTTGAAGGTGAGGCCGAGGATCTTGAACTTGATCCTCTGAGGGATGGGGAGTCAGTGGAGTCGGGCGAGGGTGGGAGTGATGGGGTCACGGAGCCTGATGCGTGAGAGTACACGAGCTGCAGAGTTTTGGATGATCTGCAACTTGTGAAGGGAAGAGTTCGGAAGGCCAATGTGGAGGGAGTTCCCATAATCAAGCCTTGAGGTGACGGATGTGTGAGTGGATATTGTCAGAAGGATATTGCGAGGCGGTGGACAGTCAAAGGTTTGCACCCAGAGCTGGGGTTTAGATTCATGAGGGGTAGGGGGAAATAGCAACTTGCATTTTGTGGCTCCCTTCATATGGAGTAGCATCTGAGGATGATCTGTAGATCAATGATTAACTTATTTAAGATCGTGGAGCGCTTAACATCATTTCCAACCGTTTCACAGGTGATTGCTGTTCATTTATATTTGTAGACAAACATGAAAGCCAATTTGCGCACAGTAAATTCCATTAACAGCCTGACGTGAATTACCAAATTATATGGAGGAATGTTGGCCAAGACAAGATAAATTTCCACTTTATGAATTGTCATGGGATCTAATCGTGTACCGGAGATTCACAAGACATCATGATGGCAGCTCCACATTGCAATTCTTCCCCAGTATGGCACTTCAGTGCCACCCTATATTGTGAGCTCAACCTGCAGCTTGAACCCATAACTTGCTGTCCCAGAGCCAAGACTGTTATTAACTGAGCCAAGCTGATGCCTTGCAAAGTAAACACAATCGTCTCCTGATCAGTAGCCCAGATATCAGTAGGCAGTGATTTAAACATAACATGGCAGCTGAAACATTTATTTCATGATTTGATAAATGCAAGCTTTTGGGATTAATATGTTAGAGTATGGGTATTGACTGTTTTCAGCCAACCTCAGTCACTTGTAAAACACTTTGAAGTGTTTCCCCATTGTGAAAGTTGTATGTTACTTGTGATCCAAAGAGAATAGACTGGATTGTAATCGTGTTGTTTTATTTTACAGTTGGGAAGACTTCACTGATCACAAGGTTTATGTATGACAGCTTTGACAACACTTACCAGGTAAAGGCTTAATTGATTGTAAACTTGTCCACCAGAATGTGCGTGAATTCAAGCTCAAAGTTCAAGATTATAGGACAAGCAATTGATCCAATGTTTTTTCCCTTTGTTGATTCTAAAGACTGCCCTTTGAGCAAATATGTTTTTTTTCTGATATCCGTTCCAAATTAATTTTTCAATTACTTTTGTTTCATTTCCGTTAGTCTTTTCGCCTTGTCTTATTTTAAAGTGATAATCTTTATATCGTTGAATATTTTATATACTTAAAAGGAGATTCCTATCCCAGTAGCTTTTTTAAAAAAAAGTTCTATAACCTTCATAGCTAATTTCTTTTTTGTTTGGGATCATTCTTAATATTTTCTGTATCTTATTTTTTTCAGTATATTCTCTTTATTTTTACCACATTCATTGGTGAAAGCTCCAACTTAAATTTTATAAAATCATATACATTGTTGTACAGACTAGAAATAGTAAATTCCTTTCATTGCTTTATCATGTTTTGTTTACAAAAGTAGACATACTATTTCATATGTGGTTTTAAATCTTCTATGGAAACTGCTTGTACTTTATCATTAACACATTTTCAATACAGATTTATTTATTATCTAGCCAGGGCTCCTCAGAGCACGTACACAAACTAGCATTGTTCTTTTTCCAGTATAAAACCCAATGGAATATTAACTATTGTCAATCTAATAGTTGTACTCCAGGACGTTAGCCTTTACCACATGTTAATATTGGCTTCCTCAGACATTAAAATCAATAAGATTTAATACATTATTATTTGGATTTAGGATTTGTGACTGCTTTAACCTCTGATCAAACTTGACGAATTGATCTTGGTTAAGGTCTAATCCAGTAAGCAAGCTCACTGTTTAAGTGTAGTAAATCCCATTTAAGAGACCTTACAGTTAAGCAGGTTACTTTTATTTAACCTCGTTGTTGCTACTTAATTTTATCCTATTGAGAAGTTCAAGCCTTCTAGGATGGATTTAAGTTGGCTTTATATTTCTCATGGCACACAATTTGTGCAGCAAAGAATTTGCTACGTCTGTGTAGTATCTTATTGAATTGTGTCTGCTAACAATGAAGCCAGTGGTGCTAAAATGCACTGCATGGAATGAAAAGAAAGTATTGCTGATTGATCAGCTATCAGGGTAATCAATGCCTGTAATGGAAAAGGCACCTACCTCTCTGTAGATGGCAATAGTAGGAATACCATCACTGATGGGTCCCATGATTCTAAACTTACGATTACATGTTGAGCCTCCAAACGTTTCTCCCTTTTTTGTATCTTACTCAAAATAGTATTCTATAATAAAATATTTTTTTATATTGGTAAATTGAACATTGATATTGTCACTAGATTCTTCACAACAGAACAACAACTTGCATTTTTTAGGGCCTCTCATGCATGGTAGCATCCCAGAGTGCTTACAAGCTAAACAGAGACAGTGTTAACTGGATGTAAGAAACATGAATCAAGATTGCAACAGAGGGGAAATGAGTAGGAGCAGACTGTTAAAACTATTGTGACAAAAAAACAATTGCCAACTTCAGCTATATTGTATTGCAGTTTAATATATGCTTTATAAAAGGATGAGTCAACACTTTGATCGTGGGATATATATAGAATATGTTTAGACCAAATTTTCGGGAAAATTAAGACTGGTTTAAGCACTGCTGCACAAAAATCTGTTGCCACTTTTTTTAAAAAAAAGATAGGACTTGAAGGACTAAATAATTAGATGTCATTGAAAAGACAGGGTCCAGGTCAACGTTATATCAATATAATAAGTGAAAATATATTTGAATAGTCTTTCAAGAGAATGAACAAAATATCAGTTATAAGTTATGCTGCTGCTGAACTGGTCTATTATTTGTTGAAATAATTGGTGTCTAATGGCTTATGCTGCTTAAACTTCTTCCACCTTATGTAATTGGGCTACAGACATTGCTAAAATTGCATCACTACAGGGGGTGGATTAGTGCTGTTTGAATTGGTGCTGTTATAGCTGTGAGCATACAAGTTGAATTGAAAGTTAACTGAAGGGTGAAGTGTGATTTTTTAAATATAAAAATGAAAAAAAATGAATGTACTTTTATGCCGATTTTTAATTATAAATATTCAATGTCACATAAGTTCAGTAATTATAGATCATCCAGCTTCAGTGTCTGTTTCACTATCCAGGGAATTGTGTCTAAGGGTGCTACAAACCTGAGGAATATCCTACTGCAATTATAACATGTGAAACAGGTGTTATGAAGGTTATTTTACTGTGGATTAATTACAATACACTGTATGTTTTGATTTTCCCCACAGGCAACAATTGGCATAGACTTTTTGTCAAAAACTATGTATTTGGAAGATCGAACAGTGAGTAATTTACAAATATTAATTTCTTGGTTCTTTGAATTTATAATAATTTGATGAAGCTGTTCTGTGTTCCTGTTAAATATTCTGTAAAATGACGACACAAGGATCCAGGAACTGTTTTAAATCCTTCCATGTAGTGTGATTAAAATAAGTGTACGAGACTAAGATCCAAGTATAGCATGAACAATGATTCTTTAATCTCTGAGAGGAATCTTGTCTCCTTATAGTGGTAATCCTTTCTATTGAATCCTGGTAACATTAGTTGATACTGACAGTGAATTACATGCACCCTAGTTTCAACAGTAGCTTACATTTATATTGTGCGCCTCACCCTGGGTAGCGTCTCAGAGCGCTTAGGTGAAGGAGCTTGACGCTGAGCCATGAAGAAAAAGGAGGTGACCGTAGTCGTGGTTGAAGATGAAGGTCTTCAGGTATGATCCGAAGACTGACAAGGGGTGGGGTAAGGCGGAAAAATTGAGGCAGAGAGTTTCAGGATCTTGAGGCGTAGCTGAAAGCTCTGCTGATGGTGGAAAGGAGGGTACAAGGAGCCAACTAGTGAAGGGGGAAGGTAGTGGAGTGGCATGAAGCAAGTCAGACTCAGTAGAGCCTTTATGCCCATTCCTCTAAATGAGCTGATATAGGGAGAGTTTGTCTTAAGCCTTAGACCAGGGTGGTCCAATCTTTTGGCTGCTGAGGGCCGGATGCCCTATTTGAGAAACGTCCACCACCCGCATAAGCAATATTTTTGTGTTTCTATTCCAGAAACATAACAACATATACGGGTTATGGAGGGAGAGGGTGGGCAAGATGAAATGGAGGGAGGGATGCTGGAGGAAATCGGCCCATAGGCCGCCAGTTGGACCACCCTGCCTCAGATATATTTTAACCTGGAACACCATCTATACATTCATCAAGTGTTCAGCTCAGAGTGATGGGGATCTTTATGCTATGCTTGAGCTGGTCGTAAATATTTCAGTATGAGAATTCCCACTATTGCAAATGTGTACTGTGGTCTGAATGGTAATTTGATTACAATTTGACATTTCGTTACCTTTGTGAATTAGGCTCTGATATGAAGCTCCAACATCAAAACTGAGATGGAGATGGCCCAAAGCTTTCTGGCCCTTGATGTGACTGCCATTTTCTTAGATGGCAACAGTATTGATACTTACAGTTTGATCCTTAAGCTTTCAGTTCTTGCACGAGAACCAGTTTTTTTTTCTATTTTCTTTTTCCTTCGCTCATTGTATTATTTGTCATCGGCCTGTGTTGTGTTTTGATTTTCTTTCCCCATTCTGCAGGTACGGCTTCAGCTCTGGGACACTGCAGGCCAAGAGCGTTTCCGTAGCCTCATTCCCAGTTACATCCGTGATTCAGCTGCAGCTGTAGTAGTTTACGATATCACAAGTAGGTATTCGAAGCTTTGGTGATGAAAAGGGAACAGCCCTTGATCTTATCCTTCCCTTCTCTTGCTGTTATTTGCCTGATGGCTAGGTGCGGTTGCAGTTATGGGACACAGCAGGTCAGGAGCGGTTCAGAAGCTTGATTCCTAGCTACATTCGTGACTCTACTGTTGCTGTTGTTGTCTATGATATCACAAGTGAGTGAGGCCTTTTCCTGATCTAATACTGGCTTCTAATAGGCATTTGCATCCCTTTTATTCACCTGATAACCTGTCCTTACCCTGTGGGTCTCTGGTGAAAATCTGTTTGTGTTTCCAGTGACCATATTCATTTTCCTCCTATCTTGATATACTTCATTATCGTTAATGGATTTGAATGCCAGGAAAACGTTCTTACCATTTTCAGATAAAATAATTGATTTTAGTTGAATTTGAAGAACAATAAATTTGGTTTAATTGGACATATTAAATCTTATTAAACTGATTAACTGCATGCATAACATAGCTACATTCTCCAAACGACCTCAAATTCGAGTTGATGCCAAAACACTTGATGCCAAGTCATTCATTGACTTTGTAAATTAGTTCCCAGAGTAATATAATTAGCATTAATAAATCTGCTCAAACGTTGGAAACTGATTGTAGTATTAGGGTGATGAGAAAGGTGATCTTTCTGTTTTGCTATGTTACTGTTATGTGGTCAATTAAGTCAATATTTTTCTGGGACATTTGAATTTTCTTGAAAACGTGCTAAAACATCTACTCTAGTGTTTTCCCTCAAAATACTGTTTCCTGCATTTTATATTTATTTTTCTCCACCATTCTTTCAGTCTTATCCCCAGTAAATTAAGGTAGATTGAGCAAGACTATTCAGTAACTTGACTTAAGTGGTTCAATTAAATAACCTGGTTTAACAAAGTTCATCTTCCATGTAGGATCATCCAGTCTATTGCTTTTTTCTTTCTAACCTATCGTGGCTAAATGTTGCCATTCACTAAAGATTCAGTGGTCTTATTATCTGTACCTCAGATCTGAGAGTTAAGAACGCGGAACAGAATGAGGCTTTGAATTGGCAAAGGCTGCTAATTGTACTGTCATTGCCTTAAATGGGCTGATGTTAAGTGATCTCCCCTGTGGTGACTACAATATCCCATTTGTACATGGAAGCCTAACTGAACAAAGAATAAGACATACAAGCAAAAGATAATGAAACTTATAATAATAATAATAATGATCCTTGCTTTTGATATAGTGCTTTTCACGTCTTCTAGACGTCTCAAAGCGCTTCACAGAATATACTGAAAAGTGAATTGACTGTATATTTTGTGGGCGAAATATGCAAGGCATAAAAATAAATGTTATTCTAGTTACACCTGGCATTAAAATATTTTCATGTTTTGTGTACAATGCAAGGAAATTTAATGTACAGTAGTTTAAGAATCTGATGTTACGATATATCATTGTTTGTTTATTTGACCAGAGGTGGATTGAAGCTCCCCCTCTGCTTCACTCTAAATAACCACCATCCACAAATCAAACATCTTAGAGTACCTGTTACTGCACCAGTCTCGCACCAAGCTCTCTCTGACTGTTGTTGTCAATCTGTGGTGGAATTGAATTTTACACCAAACAAGCAAAGAACTAAATTGTGACTTTCTACATTCATTTTGCATAGCAGAAACTTTCACCCACTGGTGTGAAGTGGAATTGTCCCTAGCTCTCAGAGCTAACAGGACCATTCCCACTCACTGTGTACAATTGTGTTCACAGATTAGGTGAATGCTCTGAATAATCCAAATCATTTCTTGGTCAACCCGAAACACAATGGTTTTCATTAAAGGCCTGGTACCATATAAAGACGTGTTTTGCATGTTGACCGTGCGATGTATAAATGTTATTGTTGTGTTAAGAGCGTGTGCATGTGAATTCGATTCAAAGCTAAACTTATCCTGGAAAACTAAATGTACTAAATTGAATCCAGAATGAAACGGAACAGATCACTGAAGCGGAAGTAAATTTTTGGGAGTACTCTTTCTTCAAAGAACCCCTCCACCCCAATCTGAATGGGGAAATCCTCTTGTTCCAGGCATTCACCAGAACTTGACTGCTTTCCTACTAGGCTACTCTAGTGACATTACTAATTGTGAACAGAACTGTACAGAGGCATTCCTTTTAATTGAACATAATGAGCAAGATTTGAGGCTGGCTTGGAAGCCAATCTAAACCTGCTTAATGTCAGAAAATCACAGTGTCAAATAATATACAGTGTTACACACCTGGTACAGGGTTTATCAGGGCTGGGCAGCTCTATAGGTTGTTTGTCAACCACAATCCTATGTGCCAATTGCCAATGAAAGTGAAGTTGTTCTGAGGCATTAATGGCAACTACCATTAATGTCACTAACTGAGCAGGAGAAGGTACATCAGATATCCTTATAACAAAGATTTCTCATATCTAATTTTCCTATAGCTAATGGGAGTTCTATGACCTGAAACTTTAACTTAAATATATGTTCCTCATCAGCATGTTCTAGAGTTTCTCTGGAATCCTCTACCTTATTTTATTTGAAGGAGGGCAACATCATAAGATACACTGACCTGTCTTGAGGGTTAGTGAGAGAAAAAAAAATTATTTGCTGAATGGGCTTTTACTTTACAAAAAACAATTGATTGCACCTTTTTCTGTAGGGCCTCATTCCCAGCTGAGTGACTTGTGAGTGAACCAGTGATGTTCCTTGCTAGGTGCCATTACACAGTCTGAAATGTTAACAAAATGAAAATCATACCACGTTATGGCTAGTACGGAACTGAATGCTTCTCCATGATCGATCCTCAGCTCCTAGCTTCCTTCTTCTACTCAAAACAGAAAATGACAGTGGTTCTGGGATGAGAGACTAAAGCCATTATCTTATTCTACATTCAGACCAGGAAATGGCATGAAGGTGGTGACACAAAGAAGATTGGGTATTTTTCCCCCACAAATAACTAGCCCTTAAGATGTTATCCTGGAGTAGAACTCAAAATACCAAAAAGCCCTCTGCATTCATAAATTGTTAAATGTTTGCATGATCGAACAGCGTGTACGTGAATTCAATGCTTCTTGCAGTTTGCATGTCTGTAAATGTTTCAGAGTATAAAAACATTTCAAAGAATATTTTTTCTTAAATTCTCTTCCTCCATGCCTTTACACTGGCACTATTAAACACTCAATTTATGTGACCCACAGGTCTAATTTGATTTTCCTCCATACTTAGGAAGGGGAAGAGACACATTGCACTGTAATTCTTTGCCTTCAAGAAGTTGTCCTTGAAAGGGCACTTTGCACACAGCAATTGTATCATCTTCATGAATGCAGCCTTTATTATCAATCAAAGCAGATGGCTAGACCCCTGCTCAAGCCCAGACAAGATTCTGTTTTGAGTCCCAGCTGAGTGTGGCACATGCCTGGGCTTTGGTTGATCAGTGCCAACATTTCTCTTGTAAGAGAGCAGATTTCAATCAGGAACCATTTTATAAAGGGATTTCCTTAGGGAGTTTCTGCATGTCCTTGGCTATTGAAAGAATGTCTTAGAATACAGTGCTTAACATGGCTGTAGTTCTCTCCCTCCATCTACAGTACCAACTATGTTTCAGGGCTATTCTTTACTGTCATGGGTATTGGGGCAACCTTTGCATCACTCAAAGGGCACATTTTTTGACACTCACTTGATTATAGATGCATTTCTATGGAGGCTGCCCCTCTCTGCCCCTTTCTCTCTGATGAAGGTGGTTGAGTGTGTATAGCTGGGTTTTAATATGAGATGAATTAGTGATTGCAGAGATCTGCATTGCCAATAGTTCTATACTCATCAAGTTTGTGTTGATGCTTTGACTCTTTAGGACAGCCTCTCTCTCAGGAAAGGGACATTAAAGGAGAAAGTGGATATTTGCACAATTAATTAAACTACCCTTGGCAGATGCCTGAAGTTGGTTCTGTGCCTAACTGATAAGTAATAAAAGAATGCAAAAGTGGATTAATATCTTTAATCGTGTACTTCATCCAAAATGTCTAGGGCAATCTTTACCAATTCAGGAAATATTTTGGTACTTTGAAATTTGAATGCCAAATTGTACCTGACGCTCATTCTGTTTAAAAAAATAAAGATGTAAACTCCTTCCAACAAACGACAAAATGGATTGATGATGTCCGAACAGAGAGAGGAAGTGATGTCATCATCATGCTTGTGGGAAATAAGACAGACCTTGCGGATAAAAGGTAAGATCTTTAATAATGTTACATTTAAAGGCAGAAGGTAAATGTCTCGGGTCAACATAGTGTTGACCAATTTTATCATTCATTCTCTTGAAATCATAGAATCTTATTGTACAGAAGGCCTTTCGTCCCATTGTGCCTGTGCTGGCTCTTTGAGCTACCAATTTGTCCCACTCCCCCGCTCTTCCCCATAACCTTTCAAGTCTATATCCAATAAATAAACAAATTGGTAAAAGTTCATACCTTAAGTTAACCTCTATCCTGGTATCTTCCAGTTGCACTGAAAAGTCACGTGCTAAGCTTTGAGCAGCCCATCTGCCTTTTGTCTACTGTGAACTCCAAAAGTATTTATAACTGTATAACCGTCAATAAGCACAATGCCTTGTTAGGTTTGCGCTAAATGTGGCATGTTGATTCCTTAAATTTTAAAAATTTTAAATTTTAAAATTTAAAAAAAATTGAACTGCAGCAAAACTGCATTCATGACAAGAACACAAATCATCTCTGCAATATTTTTAAAAAAATTATAGTTAAAAGCTTTACTCATCTGAAACTTAACAGGCAAGTTGGCTGTTGCTTTTGCCCACAAAGTAATCAATACACTTTATAGTATATCCCGTGAAACACTTTGAGACGTCTCGATGATGTGGTAATGCGCTATATCGATTGCAAAGATTATTATTTTGTTTAAAGTTAAGGAAATCTGTACCATGGAACTTTAGAAGTTTATAGCACAGAAAGCTATCGTGCCAATGCTAGTTCTTTGACCGAGCTATCCATTCAGTCCCATTTATCAGCCTTTTCTTCATTCTCTTGCAAATTATTACCTTTTAGATAATTATCTAGTTCCTTCTTAACTCCCCACCTCCACAACATCGCCTGGCTCCGTCACTGTTTCACACCACAGGCCATCAAAACCCTCATACGCACATTCATAACATCCAGGCTTGACTATGCAAACTCCCTGCTTGTCGGCCTCCCCAACTCCCCACTCCATAGGCTGCAGATCATCCAGAGCTCTGCAGCCCGTGTCATCTCCCGGACCAGGCACCATGCGCTAAATCAGCCCATCCTTGCCAGACTCCACTGGCTTCCCATCACACAGAGGATTCAGTTCAAGATCCTGGTCCTCACCTTCAAAGCCCTCCGTGGCTTCGCTCCCTGCCCCACCTCTGCGACCTCCTAACCCCCTACCAATCTGTCCACTCCCTCCGCTCAGCGGGCTCCGGCCTGCTTCACGTCCCCCGTCTCGCCCACCCCATCATTGGCTGGCGGGTCTTCAGCCACTCTGCCCCCACCTTCTGGAACTCTTCGGCTCCCTCCCTTGCCTCCTTCCAAGACCCATCTCAAGACCCTCCTCTTCGACAGTGCTTTCGATCACCCTCCTTCCGCACCTCCACCCTCCTCAATCCCCGAAACACTGACTGTCCAGCACCTTGGGACGTCCTCCCGACGTGAAAGGCGCTATACAAATGTAATTTTGTTGTTGTTAAAAGCTTATATAGATTCTGCTTCAATCACTGCACCCAGCAGGGCATTTCGTATCCTAACAACTCAGTGTTTTAAAAACAATTCTAATCTGCCTCTTTTTTACCTTGCTAACTATTAAGTTGATGCCCTTCAGTCAATGGCTCACTGACCAGTGCAAATAATTTATCCCTATCAAAATGCCTCAAAATTTTAAAGACCTCTATAAAATCTTCCTTCAGTCTTCTCTGGTTGAATGAAAATAGGCAAATTTTCCAACTTTAAGCAGTAACAATTTACATTTATATTGGTGCCTTTCATGTCTAGTCATAGGGCAAGTTACTCATCCTTGGTTTCATCCAAGTAAATATCTATACTCGCAATGGCCCTGACATTCCACAACAACAACAACAAGATTCCATTTATAAAACGCCTTTCACGTCAGGAGGACGTCCCAAGGCGCTGCACAGTTGGGTCATGACCCGAGCAGGGGGGAAATGGTCAGGGTGACGGGAGGGAAGGGAGGGAGCGAGGAGGGGGGAAATGGTCAGGGTGAGGGGAGGGAGCGAGGAGGGGGGAAATGGTCAGGGTGAGGGGAGGGATGGGAGGGAGCGAGAAGGGGGAAGAGAGTCGAGAGGGGAGCTGAAGGCTCGGTCAAAGAGAAAGGTTTTGAGACCGGCCTTGAAGGAGGAGAGGGAGGAAGCGGCGAAGGCACTGGGGGATAGAGTTCCAGAGCCTCGGGGCTGAGAGGCTGAAGGCCTGACCACCAATGGTAGGGCGATTGGGGCGGGGGACGTGGAGCAGACCGGAGCCGGAGGAATGGAGGGTACGGGCAGGTAGGTAGGGGGATAGTAGGTTGGAGAGGTAGGAGGGAGCAAGGCCGTGAATGGCCTTGTAGGTGAGGATGAGGATCTTGAAATCAATCCTCTGGGGGATGGGGAGCCAGTGGAGGCGAGCGAGGGTGGGAGTGATGTGGTCGTGAAGCCTGGTGCGGGACAGTACACAAGCTGCAGAGTTCTGAATGACCTGCAGGGTGGAGGGAGGTGGCGGGAAGGCCGACGAGGAGAGAGTTCCCATAGTCCAGCCTTGAGGTGACAAAGGCGTGGACCAGGGTTTCAGCAGCGTGAGGGGTGAGGTAATGGCGTAGTCTGGCGATGTTCCGGAGGTGATGGAAGGCGGTGCCAGTTGTGGTGCGGATGTGAGGGAGAAAGGACAGCTCAGGGTCGAACAAAGTAAGGTGACGAAAACTGGACACATTATATTCTAACTGCAGTCTTAACTGTATAAATCTATGATTTATAGAGGTTAAGCATTGCTTCTAAAGTGATGATCCTGAGGGAAGCTGGGGAAGAAATAATGTTTTTTCTGACTATTTCCAATGTTCTAAAATATATCAGAGATTTGGAAGGAGACAAATGTCATAGCCCTCTTGAAAAAAGGAGACCAAGATAAACTAGGAAATTGTAGTTTCATTTCAGTTGGTGAACAACTGGAGTATATAATGTGGATTTGTGTTAATTAGATTACTAAGCACTCAGAGAAGCTCAAGATAACCGTTGTCTACAAAATTCATTCGCTGAATTTCACAGTAATTCTGAAGCGCCTTGAGATGACCTCCTGACATGAAAGACACTACATGAAATTCAAGTATTAAAATTATACCAAATTCAGTTTAATTTTTCTTAAATTTCTCACTCATCATAATATGAACTCCCTCATCTGTCTAGATCCCTGCTGATCCACTTGTTCCAACTGTATATGAGACATGCCCTAGTTTTGCTGTTTAAGGGTCTTGTTGCTTGTACCCAGCATATTAATTGCGTTTGTAGGGGTTGAGGAATTTGCTTTCTCCAGGTCTGGGCACATGTGATAAGATAAATATTGAAAATACCATGAAATTAAGCCCAGTGTATATCAACCATCAAATCTCAAAACGAATTAAAGTTTTAGTAATTTTAATGTACTTAAGGTGAAGCTGTCAATTGTCAAAAGCACCTTAGATGTAGATAGACCACTGATGAGAATTACTTTAAAATGTTATTCCAATATTCTACAACCCCAAGAATTTTCTTGGTTCATTAAATCATGCTGTAACCTTTCTTTAATCTCTGGAGTAAGAGATTAATTTTGAGAGCCTGCTGCAGTCCCTTCAGATCAATTGAAATCTGCTTAATCCTTGAGAAGGTCAGTTTCACACAAAAGGCTTTGGACTAGATGTAAGATTGTGATGGAAATGTGAAGATTCTAGTGTAGAACGCAACAAGGAAACTTGAAGGATAGCAGTCAAAGACACAATTTGAAATCTCCTGCAATGGAGGTAATATTTGTATAGCAATGTATCAGAACAGATCGTGCCCTTAAAACTTGCTTTTGCATGAGGTGATATTTAACTTTTGGCTAAGTACTCATTGATTTGTTTGGAGGTCAAGAAGAATGTGAGTCGAAGACCTTAGGCATTGAAGATTCGATTAATATTTTTAAGGTTTGACTAATGGATTTCCAGGATGTCAAAACCAAAACACTGGCTTGCATAAATGTCACCCGCTTCATCTTGATGAGAGAAATGATACCTTTGCTGTAAAGCTTGAGCAAACAAAACTGGTGAGCTGAAGCAACTTTCTGAGAATATCAGAGTATTTTCTGTGGTGTGAATTGAAGTGCTTCAGTTCAGGTGACATGGAGAGTGTTAAATAATAATATTTCTTACATTAGGTGTAGCGCCTTTCACGTTGGTAGGACGTTCCAAAGTGCTTCACAGGATGCTCCGTAAAGTGTGCTGACTGTTTTGTGGTTGAACATAGCATCCAGTTTGTGTTATTATTGGCCGGCCAGGACACTGGGAGTCCATTGTTTTTTTGAATCGTGAAATAGGATCTTTAAGGTCCACCTAAACAAGCAGACATTGGGGTCTTGATGTAAGAGATCTTGGTTTAACATCTTGTTCACAGGCTTCATAGGATGTATTGTAAAATGATGTAATTGTGTGTTTTGTGGGTGACTTGTTATTAATTGGATTATTAATCATTTTATCTGCCACAGGCAAGTTGCTATCGAGGAAGGAGAAAGAAAAGCCAAAGAACTGAATGTAATGTTTATTGAAACTAGTGCTAAAGCAGGCTACAATGTAAAACAGGTGAGTCAGCAAAGAAGATTGTGAGATTTGCATGATTTTGTTGGTGGTGCAGTGGGGGATTAGAAATCTAAATCCAGATCCCACTACCAGGTAGTTTATTAAAAAAAGCAACATAATTTCTTCCTGCTTGATTGTGATCAATGAGAAGAAACCCGTAATCTAATTTGTTCCCCAGCCTAATTTCCTTAAGTGCTTTGTGGTGTTTACTTGCATATAGAGATTCAGTTTCCACTTGTAAAGTGTAATCTTGATCAGATCGTGCTAAACGTAGTTTAAAGGCAGTGATGTTTGAATCCATGTGTGTTGAAATCGATGGAAAGAAAACAATAAAATAAAAAGTGAACAGAGAGCAGGAGAATTGAGTGTTCAGTTTATTGGAACGGGTGCAAAGCCAAGGTACAATGTAGAGCAGGTAGAGATTACTATATCTAGTTTTCCGATTCTACGCCCTTCATCTCTGGAATGTTCTCCCTCAACTTCCCTCTCTATCATGTAGTTCTGCCTTAAAATCTACCATGTCAACCGTGCCTATGGTCACTTCCACCTGCTTGGTGTCCGTCTGCACCACTCTAAAGTGCTCAGACCTCATTCGACATTAAGGGCACAAAGTGAAGGCCAGTTGTATATTCAAGGTGCACTCTGTACATTCAGGATTTGGATTCCTGACTAGATTTCTTTTGTCTGCCTCCCCTCCCCCCTTTCTACAGTATCTTCCCTTCTGTGGAGACTGATCCACCCTATTCATTATTTTCCATTATTTTACCCAATATAAATGTTGGACTAATGGGTCCATAATGGCTTGGGGTCAGATTTGTCATCCTTTAATGTAGGCCTTTCATAAACTCATCTCCTGTCCAATTATTTTTGCTGTTTTGAATTAAACTCTCGCAACATTAGCTGCTGCCTTGCAAATTTTCAATCCAATCTCCTTCAGAACCTTGGATTTATATGACCTGGCCCTGAGGATTTTTTACTTACTTGAACATGCACTGACTACACAGTTGTGGTTGTCTGACCCCAAGCTTGGATTTTAAGAAGCTATGGGTTGTAGGAGGAAGAGAATGTTTTGGATGATTTCCATTTGCTCTAGGATGAAGGACCTGGGCTGATGTGTGAATGAGTTATTTTCAAAATCTTACTTCTACACAATTTGCCATAATGATGCGCTGATGTAGAAATACCTCATTATAACTTAGTCTTAGTCCAGATCCAATAGTTCATTGGCTCCATTGTAAGGAAAGTGCAAACAAAGCTTGAATTCCAGGGCATCAGGACACCATTGATTATAGTGAACTATGAACAGGAGCACTTTTGATGTCCAATATGTGAAAGAAGCACTGCTCATTTCTCTTTCGCAAAGTGGTGAGCAGTTCAAGCGCCGTTTGGGAAGTGATGTTTAGTGGCTGAGTGCAAATAACAAGCATACACAGTACATAGGAAACGACATCCAACAATGACCAGATAAGCCAGAAGTCGGCTATTTAAGCACAAGAAGTTGGCTCATTGGATGCTGGTTGGTCCTGGCTTTCAGTTAGCACAAATCCTCTGTGAATTCACACTATAAGCGACACAATGCTCTACCACAGGGTCCGATAACTGGGCTCCCCTATAAGCTATTCAGAAGTTTTTGCTTTATGACGTACCTGTTCTTTCCTCAGCTTTTCCGACGTGTAGCTGCTGCCTTGCCTGGAATGGAAAGCACACAGGATAAAAGCCGAGAAGACAGTATCCTTTACTTCAGATTTAATTTTGCTGCTGATTAGTTGAAGCAGAATTCTATTTTGATTACCCTGGACAAAAGTTACAGAATGCTAGTTTAATGGTCGGAAATTTTCCTACTCATGCTTCCTTTACAGATCTGATATTTGTCGGAGATTATATATTTCTCCTCGTCAGGGAGGAGGCTGCACCTGGCGTAATCCTTTGGATTATATACGATTATCTTTATAATGTGCATGTCTCACACATGCAGAAACCCATCATCATGCTTAATTCAAAACACTGATTGCCCAGTGTCTTGGGACGTCCTCCCGATGTGAAAGGTTCGCTATACAAATGTAATTTGTACCCAAACCAGAGTTCAGCATATGTATTCCATCTATACATGGAAGTTTCCTTATGTCTGGAATGTGAATGTGAATGTCTTATGAATCGAATAACTCTCTCCCTGGTTGGATTATCTAAATCCAGACAGTACTAGGCACACATTGGCCTTGGGGATTCCAGAGCGTGTATTGGAGTCCTGCTGGAATTTCACCAGCTAACACTACATAATAATAATAATAATAATCCTTGCATTTGATATAGCAATTTTCACATCTTCTAGACGTCTCAAAGCGCTTCACAGAATATGCTGTAAAGTGAATTGACTGTATATTTGTGGGTGAAACGCGGCAGCCAATTGCACACAGCAATGTCCCACAAACAGTCGTGGATTGAAAATGACCAATTTATTGTTGTTTTGGAGGGATTATTATTAGGCTCTGTGTGGAGTAAGGAAACTTGCCCAAGGTTTCGCCCCCTGTCTGGAATTGAACCCAGGTGTCTCGCTTGCAAAGCGAGTGCTCTAACCACTGAGCTACAGGACTCACGTTTACCACTGAAAGCACTGGAAAGAATCCTGGTCTTCAGTGAATGGTCTGCCCCTCTCAAGTATTGCTGACTAGTGAGACTACCAGCTCTGACATCAGCTGTGCTTTGGGAGAGCTGTGGATCCAATAAACAATCTGAGTAATTAAAGTGGTAAAGGTCAGATTGCATTCCATTTTGGATCTTTGTCTACTCAGGAGGAAGTTCTTTGATTATCAAGTTGTGTTTGGAGAAAGAAAAGGTCTAAGCAACAACAGGTAAGCTATGATCAAAAATTCCTTAACATCTGACTTCAGTGATTGACATAAAACTGGAAAAGACCCAAGAACAACCGGTCAGTGAGGGAGGCTGCTCCTGCTAATACTGGCTCTGTAAGCCACTGCTTATCTGTCATTACCATCCACCACAGTGTGAATATTGGCTAGTAATCTTACCCTGTTGGTAAAGTATTGCAATTCATCATTGCTGGCTGTCTTGTAATTGATCTATTAGCTTCACAAGCACAAACGTGGAGAGAATGTCAGTGTCTTCATTGGAAATAAAAAAAACAAAAAAAATGAATTGCCAAAATTCCACTTGCATCAGTTTACTTTTAATCGGAAGACACATTTTGTTCTTTGCGTTGTATAATGTTGCACTTTTAAATGATGGAACTCTGTAACTGTTTTATGTGAAGGACAGTAAATGCAGATAACATCCGAATGCTAAGTGGCTTTGTGAGTGACTACATTATCTGAACAATGAGACACCAGTGAATTAGACCGTAATTGTTTTAAAGTAATGGATCAACAGTTGTGATCTATTGACAATATCTATTTCTCAAGGGTGCAAAGAGAACTGAGGAATTAATTTACACTTCGCACCATTTGCAACATTACAAAAAATAATTTTAACTGCAATTCCAGAGTGAGCGATGCAAACTCAAATTTATCATGTGCACAATTGAACAATATTGCAATTTTTTTATTTTTTCTGTTCCTATTCAGCACCTTCTGAGCCCATCTTTTATAGAAGAGGTTCTTTCAACTAAAATGGGAGTGGCTTTTTGAGAGATGTGCATTTTCAGATAACTCTGCACAATTTGCTCTGAAAATTTTCAATTTGAAATCAGAAGGAAAAAAAAACCCCAACAAACGAGTGTTTGTATGATGTGGAGTGAAAGTTCTCTGCTCACTTAACAAGCAACTTCTCCAGCTTACAAAGTATCATTTAAGCTGTGCGTATCGAAGGAAGAGAAACTTTCACATGCAGGACTTGTAAAATTATGCATCCTTTATGCCTTCTTTTGGTCTAGGGCTTCCATATTGGCTAGGCTTTTTGTAGTTATATATAGTTTTGTTAACCTACCTGGAATCAGATTAGCAATGTTATTTAACTGGATTGTTTAACTCCCCTGTTTAATTTATTCCATTGCTCAGTATTTTTGAACTTTTTTTAAGATTTAAAAATGCTTACAATTCGATTAGATTTTGTCATGTTCTTTGATTTTCCCCCCCACCACCACCACCACCCCTTTCATTTTGCGTAGAATTTTTTTCATTCTGACTTTGTTTCTGATCTCGAGTATTAAAGTGTGTTTAGGCAAAATGGTTGTGGGGCAGAGGAACTGTTTCCAGTTAACAGTGTACACACACCTATTCTGCGTTTTGCATTATTGGAGAAATTAGATCCATATGAAACTGTGCCGTGCCCTCCAGTTAGGATTTTCTGCATCCTTTTTAAGTGCCTACACCCCTAGAATTGTTTTAATAGGGCTGGAGGTACAGTTGGGTTTATTGTTGCTAAACATCATATAATTCTGCCTTACGTTTGGTGTGGCATACACAGGCATAGATAGTTTGCAGTCTTCATGAATTTGACTCCTGCACTCCTGGAAATGGCAGCCTTCCCCTGCAGACTCGAACTGTAATGTATTGTAAATTCTCGCTTATCCATTGTTAGGTTCTTTTTTCTCCCTCAATTTTGTTAATGAACTATTGTGTAAAACGGTGTGGCTTGGGTTTTTTGTTTGTTATTTTAATTTTATTGTTAAAAGTATGTTTTGTGAAAACACTTTCTCCTCGGAGAATGAGAAATTGAATTTAACACTAAATCACGTTGTCATGCAATTTTATTTCTGAAAATATTTAAATAATTATCCAAGCTTATCTGGTGAAGTTCTTTGACCAAACAAAAGCATGATGATTATCAGAGTTTCTTAGTACACTGACGATTAACGAGCTTGTGAACACCGTTTCGAGAGCAGCATTGTTTCTTTATGAAAGGAAACTCCTTTCACAAACTGAGCTCTCAAAGCTTCTGTGGTACAGTTTTGTGCAGTTTCAAAAAATGCTTGGTTTCTGACAAACTATGGCTTGTTCTCTGGCTTGACTGTTGTGTACCCATGCAACTGTTTATTCATTACTAAGTTTATGTATGTCTTGGTACCATGACACCCTTGAAATTACAAAAAAAGATTTTTGTCTTTGAACATCACTAGTACCTCAGCTCTGTTTGATAATGTACAAAAACCCAAAGCCTGAACAAAATAAACACCTGCCTATTCAAATAGTTAACTGTGTGTGTTGTCTTTCCAGTGGTCTGAGATGCATTATTTTTACAGATATAAATGTGGTTAGATTTTATGAATGGGATGTCCATTTGATATGTGTCTACCTTGCCAATAGTGCCAGATTAACCAGGTTTGTCAGGGCAATATATAATAAGTAGATCATATGGGGACAGGTAAAATGTTTCCATGTATACCTTGCTCTGCTGGCTGGCAATGTCAAGGATGGCCAGGATTAGTGTCTTAAGGTTTTTTTTAAAACATCAAATTAATGAAAGGAATTGACAGGTTAAATGGTGCTCAGTTCTTCCTATTAAAAAGGGATACTTGTCAAAGGAGCATTGCTTTCAAATTGGAATTAAGACTGTCAGAACTGAAGTCAGAAAGCATTTCTTCACACAACAACAAAATTACATTTATAGAGCGCCTTTCACATCGGGAGGACGTCCCAAAGCACTGAACAGTCAGGTGTCGGGGCCTGAGCGTGGGGTAGGGGTGAGGGAAGGCAGAGAGGTGGGAGGGAGGCGAAAGGCACGATCGAAGAGAAGGGTTTTGAGACCGGCCTTGAAGGAGGCGAGGGAGGCAGCGAGGCGAAGGGACCGTGGGATGGACTTCCAGAGTGTGGGGGCAGAGAGGCTGAAAGCCCGGCCAGCGGTGGTAGGGCGGGTCGGATAGGAGACATGGAGCAGACTGGAGCACTCCGAACGGAGGGAGCGGCCAGGTTGATATGGAGTCAGCAGGTCAGAGAGATAGGAGGGGGCAAGGCCTTGAAATTGAGGACGAAGATCTTGAACTCTATCCTCTGAGGGATGGGGAGCCAGTGGATTCAGGTGAAGGTGGGAGTGATGGGGTGGTGCGTGAGAGTACACGAGCTGCAGAGTTTTGGATGATCTGTAGCTTGTGAAGGGAAGAGTTGGGAAGGCCGATGAGGAGGGAGTTTCCGTAATTGAGCCTTGAGGTGATGAATGAGTGGGTGAGGGTTTCTGCAGCCTGAGGGGTGAGGCAGTGGCAGAGTCTGGCAATGTTGTGGAAAGGGTTGTGAATATTCTTGCCCAGAAAGTTGTCGAGATGGAATCATTGGGGATACTCTATTTAGAAGAGAGATAGATAAAGACTTGGTGGTGTGGCAAATAATAATAATCCTTGTATTTGATAGAGCACCTTTTCACACCTTTGAGACGCCTCAAAAGCTCTTCACAGAATATACTGTAAAGTGAATTGACTGTATATTCTTTGGGCGAAACGCAGCCGTCAGTCGTGCACAGCAGTCTCCCACAAACAGTCTTGGATTGAGTGACCAATTTTTTTATTACCCCTAGAAAGCAATCTGCCAATCGACTAACAACCAGGTTCCTACTTGCTGCTGGGTAAACCGAGGGGTGTGCACTAAGGAAACTTGCCTAAGGTTTCGCCCTGCCGGGCATCCCACCCAGGTCCTCTCGCTTGAGAGGCAAGTGCTATAACCACTGAGCTACAGGGCAAAAGGGTTAAATGGCCCATGTTTGTTTGCCAGTGTTCTTATGTCCATCTATATGCTCATCACGACTTCCTAATGGGCAGAACGCAAAGTTATTTTAAACAGATAAAAATATGTAGATAGGTTGAAATAATTTAGCGGCTCCACAGCCATTTCAGGGCAAATGGATAGTTACAGTCTTTCTGTCACAGTACATATAAAACATTGCTTCAAGGTGTTTAGAATTGGAATTTCTACCCATTATTGCTGTGATTTAATTTAAGAATCTAATTTAAATTACAACTTGTTCTACTTATTAGGAACCCCAAATTATAATCTGCATACACTAGTGCTCAACAGACGAGAGTCATTTTATCCTGAGGTAGTGGGGAAAGAGAGAAGAAACCAGACACAAATCAGTAGCTTATTGACCCCTATTTAAAAATAATAATGAGCAACATCGAATGAAGTTAGTGGACCTTGTCTGAGTATAATTGCAAGGCCTTTTCCACAAACCGTGTAATCCAGTTCTAAATCAGGTAATTATCCACACTGTGTCTGCCAACTGCACACAGATGATCTCTCAGCCACTGAACCCAAGGTCACAACAAACTGATGCTCACTCGCCTTGGGCTGTAAAGCAAAGAATTCTGAAAGGTAAGGACGTTTCTGTGAGCTTTGTGTGTGTGTGTGGGGGTGGGGGCAAGGGTTCAATCACATGATTAGCTTAGTGGTAGGACCAACCCTAAACCATTTAGTGAAGAACTGGTTTAACCTGATAACTGAAGACTTAAATTCTTGCTTAATGCCAATGTTAATTAAATTATCAATTGCAAATTAAATGTTTGTTATAGCACTGAATAGTTAATTCCTCTTGAATTTCCAATACACCTTTCATTGGGTGATATAATAATAACGCTTGCATTTTATATAGCCCCTTATCACCTCTTTAAGACGTCTCAAAGCGCTTCACAGAATAAAGTGATCAATTGGAAGTTGTCGATTTGTGCAGATATCTTCAAAAATATGAAACGTTGTAATATTTCTTTTGTGCTTTTTTTAAGACCTTCGAGGCAGAAATTATAATTTTTAGATTTAAGAACGAAATTACATTTTCATAGAACTTAAATATTAAGTTTTTAATTAACTGGCTTACATACTACATTCATGATTACAAAGAATATTAACATAAGCTATTTTGACTTGGCATGCTAATTTTCTCATTTAAATTTTGTTTTATGCTGTTTTAAGTACGTGGTATCTAAAATTCCTGAGTGGAATAAGGGCTTGGGGGGGGGGGGGGGGGAAAGGATGGTAAAGAGATCAACTTGGCCTAAAATGAACTCTCAGTAGCCAATGGATAAATAAAATGGAAGTGTTTTTTTTAAAAACTAAAATCAAAAGCAGTTTATTGAATAAGCTTATTTTGTGCCTTATCACATCTTCGAGACATCTCAAAGAGCTTCACAGAATATATCGCAAAGTGAATTGACTGTATATTTTGTGGGAAAAACGCAGCAGCCAATTGCGTGCAGCAGTGTCCGAGTCGTGGACCGAGTGACCAAGTCATCACTATTTTAAAAAAATATTTTTTGAAGGGATTATTACTCCCGGAAAAGCGATCCGCCAGTCGACTAACAACCTAAATAATTTAGGGCTGTATCCTCATGATGAGCACCTCATTTGCGAACCTGCCTGTGTCCAAATGGATGATTCAAAGAAGATTAATATTCCAGCACAAAACTGGAAGAACAAAGTCTCTTCTGAAGCTTTATAAATGGACAATGTCCTGGTGAATTTCCGAGCTAGCCTGGGGTCTTTCCCCCGGCTCGGAGTCGTGTTCCGCCACTGTCGTGCCCACTGGACTCTACCCTGCGCATGGGGTGCTATATATAAAGAATGACAAACCCTTAAAGATGAGTAGTATTTTCATTTTAGATTATTTTTTCTATTGTGGGAAGGAACCAAATGCAAGGAATATATGCGGAGAAACAAGTTTTGTGATTTTTTTTCCCCCCCGCGAGCCCAGATGTCGAGTACCAAGAGTTAAACTTTAGTATCGGAGTCTATCTGTCCACCTGCAATATAGTGAAAAGGGCAAGGTGATGGATTTTTTTTTTCGGAGGAGCAATTTATCACCTGAAATAGGAGCTGTGTTTCTGTCGTTGAGCCTGAGAGAGAAATCGGAGCTTCAACTGAGAATGTCAAGAATGTATATTGTTCAGAGTTCTCTCACCAATGTATTGATCATTGGGTTCACTCTCTATTGTAGGCAACCTCTAAACCCTGCCTGCTTCACTCATTCTGACTCCAGTTGAAGTGGTGAGATACAGAGCAGCAACTATTTTAAAGCTAAAATTTCTGAATGCGCCCCTTCGTAAAAAAAATTTGGATGAGATTTTGCACTTTTTTTTTAAAATTGGTAATTTCACCTGAACAAATTGTGTGTATATTCATTCAAATCAAAATGTGATCTGAATCGTGGAGTCCTGTAGTTTATTGGTTAGAGAACTCGCCTCGCAAGCGAGAGGACCTGGGTTAGATTGTCGGGCGGGGCAAAATCTTAGACTAGTATCCATACTCCACACACCTCTGTTTACTTAGCAGTAAGTAGGAACCTGGTTGTTAGTCAATCATACTCACTTCAAAAAAAAATGTGGTCACTCAATCCATGACTATTTGTGGGACACTACTGTGCACAATTGGCTGCCATGTTTCACCCACAAAATATAGTCAATTCTCTTTACATTCTGTGAAGCACTTTGAGAAATCTCAATGACGTGATAAGGCGCTAGCATCAAATGCAAGGATTATTATATTGGTGACCGCCTTTCAATTAGGCGAGGGAATGATAGGTTTCAAAAACCTCCTGAAAATATTTCTCTTTGGCTATGCTTTTGGTAATCTTTAAAATCTCTAATTTCCCATCTGTGGTGGACACAGATGGAAAATGAGTACACTGAGACTTTTTTTTGCACAAAACGCGCCTCATAATTGCAAGTTTTTGTTTTTCAATTTAGTCTATGTCCCTTTGAGTTTACGTTGAGTAAAATCAGCCTGAATGAAGCACAGAAGTTAATTGCTGCCGATTTTCTGTAATTTACTTCTGGTATTAATTACAGGATATAGAATTCCAGTTTTAAAAACTACTTCGAATCTAAGAATAGCTATAACCTTGAAGTAACAATGTGTGTGTGTGTGTATAAACAAGATGTATATGCTTTATAGTGTAGAATTCTACAATTCCAGTGAATGGACAATAATTATATCTTTCTTTTCTATGCCCATCTATAAAAGCAAATGCCTGGAACCACTTAAGTCTTAGAGAATACTTGTGCTAAATTTGAACCAGGTTTTAAGAAGTTTGCGGTTGCTTTGTCTGCCAGATAATGAGCAACAAGACAAAGCACAACACTGACATAATTAAACCAGATCTTAACTGGCCAATAGTCTATGAATGAATTGTACCACCGACCTGGTCCTAAATCATATACATTGGTTTTAATGTCTTCACAGGAATGTAATGTCGCAGGATTCAAAATCCGC